ATTCACAATGCAAATGCCGTAGCCGTTTCGGAGCATCGAAGTGATGGTCTCGGAATTGAAGGCCGCCTCGTTATCGCAATAAATTGTCTTGGTTGCGGGGAAAAGGTTAACAATTTTCGGTAAAGGGCTTGTGACATCGATTATCGTTCTGGATAATATCGGTTGGACGACTGCAAATTTGGAGAATTTGTCTATGCAGTTTAAGAACTGTTTCTTGTCTGTCGAGAAAATGTCAATATGCAACATTTCGCCAGTATAACTTGGTATAGGCGTTTCCCCGAGTTCTTGTTTCTTCGGGTGCCTATCGTACTTGGCTTTAGTGCAGACCCTGCAGTTTGCAACCACTTCTTTGGCCAAACTGGCCATATTGGGAAAATAATAGTCACGAAGTACTTGTTTAATGTTTTCCTGAGCTGCTCTGTGCGCTCTATTGTGCTCGACAGTGATGATTTCTAACTGCTCGTTTTTGTCCGTTATATCTTGCACAAGATTTTTGCAATACCAGAATTGGGTGGCAGGGAAATGCAAGATCAGGTCGTGTTGGAAACTTGCCAACGTGGGAAGATCGCAATGTATTGCATTAACGACTCCAGACTTCACAACTTCTTTGAGAGTTTTGAGAATTGTGCTCTTGTCAGTGTAACTGATCAAGAGGCGTGTTTTGCTGCGAAACAGCAACAAGTTTCGCTTTAACGAAAAACGCGATTCCTCTAGGACAATCTGGTTCCTAAAGCAATTTAAAGGTTTGTCTGTTGTCTCGACCGTGTAGATCAGGGAAAGTTCGCTGTGAATGGTTGCAGCGTCCGAACGGGGCCCATTTTGCAGAGCATTAATGTTTTGCCTTGAAAGGGCATCCGCCACCAGATTCTCTTTGCCCGGTTTATAAAACATTTTGGCATTGTGCTGGTCAATGTAAGATTTCCATCTTTTAATCTTGGAATTCGTGTTCTTGTCTGACACAGCGAACGTGAGCGGCTGGTGGTCCGTGAAAATGTTAATTTCCCTAGAACCGTACAGAAAGTTCTGCAGTTTGCCTTAAGCCCACACAATGGCCAGCAATTCTCTTTCGTTAGTGGCATAGTTTTGTTCGGCCTGTTTAAAGGCGCGAGAAATCATTGTTATTGGCCTATTGCCTTGGGAAAGAACCGCGCCGATTCCACTGGCCGAAGCATCAGTGGTTAAATCGAACGGTTTCTGGAAGTCCGGATACATTAACATGACATCTTCTGATGCCAAAATACTCCGCAGACGGTGAAATGCATCGCGTTGAACTTCATTAAATTCAACAGGGATTTTCTTTGACACGTGCCTACTAACTGAACCATTTTCCCCTTTAAGTATGTCCGATATCGGACGCGCTATAGCGGCAAAGTCCTTAATAAAGATCCTATAGTAGTTGGCTAACCCCAAGAAGGACCTAACGCTGTAGACACTCTTTGGTTCAGGGAATTCCTGAATGGCTTTAACTTTTTTGGGATCGGATGTTGCTCCGTCTTTGGTTACAATGAAACCCAGGAATTCGATATTTTCCTTGAAGAATCGAGTCTTTTCAGGGCCTACACGCATGTTGGCGTCGATTAGACATTTTAACACAATGTTAATGTGTTTAAGGTGCTCCGTTTCATTTTTAGAAAAAATTATGACGTCGTCTACATAGACAAAGCAAATCTTTCCTATATGTTCCCTCAGGATATCGTCTATTGCCCTTTGGAATATGCTGCTTGCATTGCGCATGCCGAATGGTAGGCGACAGAACTCGTACTTGCCGCTGCTTACTTACAACGAAGTCTTTTCGCGGTCATGGTCCGCAAGGTAGATTTGATGGTACCCAGACTTTAAGTCGAGGGTAGTGAAGTATTTCGCCTTTCCTAGATTTGCTAAGATCATGGGGATGCTCGGCATGGGGTAGCGGTCCGGTATGGTTTTTTCGTTCAGTTTCCTGAAGTCGATTACCAACCTTTTTTTTGGGTTACCGTATGAGTCAGTGCCTTTTTTATCAACCACCCATGTTGGGCTGTTGTAAGGCGATCTGGAGGGCCTGATTATGCCATCGTCCAGTAATTGTTTGACTTCTTTGTTTATTAAGTCAGAAACACCCATGAGATTCGGGTATCTTGAATACACAGGCTCGTTGTCTACTGTTCGGATTGTAGCGATAACAGCAGTATTAAAAAGGAGAGCTTCATCTGTATTTGAGAAAGCTCTTTTGGTTCTGAGTATCCTGTCCCTTAACTCTTTCTTTACGAAGGGGGGACTACGATGTCGTTGACATCGGTGAAGTTCGCATTAGCACATTGATAGTACTGGAGTTTTTCAGATGTACTCTGGTATTCCAGAGTGTTTTTTTCCAAGTTCAATTTGACTCCGGCTTGTGTTAGCAAGTCGAAGCCTATGATGGCGTCGAAAGAAAATATCGAGGAGAAAAACCGGGGAAGTATGTTGAAAAATATTCATCAAGCATTTGCGCTTGATTTCGGTAGACCCGTGGATTGAGTTTACCGAGAGTGACTTGGCGACCGGCGTTATGGTCTTTAGCTCTGTTAAGGGCTTCACATAATTTTTTGCGCCGCCAGTGTCAATCAACATCTTCAGAGTTCTCCCAGCCAACCATCGTTCAATGTACGGAAGCCGGGAGTGTTCCCTAAAAAATTAATCGAGTCGTCACCAGGTGTGAACTCGTTCTCACTCTCTAGTTCTTCAACTGCCTCTTTGGCCGCCTTCTCGAATTCTGTTACGGCTTCTTTGGAATCTGATTGTACGACATTGTTAACGCGTTGTCGTCTTTGACCTGTTGAACGGTCTGACGAATTCTTGCGTTTTGGTGCGTTGGACTCATTAGCCTGACGCTTGCTGTAGTCGGTTTTTTGTCTAAATCTGGAGGAAGAGTCAACTTCCATGGGCTGTGGAGCCTCGGTTTGATTGTCTTTAGGGACCTGGGGCTGGGGACCGCCCTTTTGGCGTTTCACAAAATGGGGATTTCTCTCCTGATTTTGCTCATCTTTGTTAAATCTGGTTTGTTTGCCTTGGGCACGGCTTTTGTTACATTTAGCAATTTGCGCTCGGTCTTGCAAGGCTTTAGCGTAAGAGTTCGCGAATATGCTTCTCTCAATGCTAGCTTCTGCCTCTCTGGCAAGGGCCAGTGCGGATGGTAGATCTTTTGGTTGTGCAGGGAACACAACCGCTCTCAACGGCTTTCTGAGACCGGAGATAAAGGCGTGGAAGGCGTCGTCTCTGACCTCCCGGTTGAGCAAATCGGCGCCTTCTTGGTCGTGAGACATTACAATTTTGTTAGTTACGAGCGTGAGTTTCTTTTCGACGTCATCGTAGTATTGCATCAGGGACATTTCGCCCTGCGTAACTAACTCCAAACATTGTCTCAACAAGCGCAAGGATGTTTTATCCGAGTATGTGCAATCTAGCCTAGCTAGTATTGCATCGAAATTTAGGACAGTGTTGTGAGACACTAGTAAGGCTCCAGCTGGGCCTTTGATTTTGTTCCTAATGATCGCTACCGCTTGGTAGTGTGCAGTGCTCTTTGGATAGTTCTTGAATAGTTCGTATGCGTAGATGGCTGCTTGCCTCCACGCTACATACTCATCCTGTATGCCGGAGAAATCCGGCACAGACTTAATAATGTCTAAGGGAATATCGCATTTCGCGTTAGGATCGACGGATATTTTCTCGTATGTGATGATTTGCGGCGCTTCCACCTGCAAACTCTGTACTTGTGAAGCTAAAGCGGTTATTTGTGCTTGAAACTGATTTTGTTGTTGCGCTAAAGCTTGCCTGATAGCACCCTCCATGAGAGTCTGAACTTGAGCCGGCTCCATTTCTTCAGTTAAACTGTATCTGCAGGAGTAGGATCTACTGAGAAATTGATTTCCCCCTCCCAGCTATCGTCACTATTACATTCAACTTTTACCTCCCTATAATTCCAACTCATTGGCTTATGGTTGGCCCTTTTCAAAATTTAGGCCGATCGAGAAAGATCGGCAGGTAATACTGTTGGCAATACCGGAAACTGGTGTATCTTGGGGTATGCAATATTCATTATAAAAAATTGTTAAGGGTATGCAGCAAAAATTATAATGCTGCCGAAAGTATGCAATAATTATTCGTTTAAGGTATGCAATGCTTTATTGACAAAGAACGCTGGTAAAAGTATGCAACCATTTTTTGTAAAAGTATGCAATGATTTAAAGGAATGAAATGCCGGCAGAAGAAAGCAGCAATATTTACTTTACTCTTTTTTTTTATTTTTTATAAAAATCACACGTATCGGTACGTGGCGTTCGTGAATAATTTCTTCAAAACTGAAATCACTTATGAACTTACATGGTATGGGTTCCTATTTATTGGTTGGGCGCCAATTAAGTCTTCCATCGTAACTTCGTTGTCTGGCGACGATGTGTGGTTAATCCAACAGGTGAATTCTTCTCCTTATGAGGTGGCGATGAATCCAACAGGAGACTGTTGGAACGATGTGATTAGGTTATGGGAACTTTCCCAGTTGCCCGTCTTGGACGTGGTCAACTATGATTGATAACACAAATAATGTTTATTGACGGCAATGCCGGAGTTTAATCATTTACTCGTCTTATAATGTTGCGATCTAGATTGAGACTGCAGGCTACAGAAATGTTCAAGCTTAAGCTTGCCCTGTGAAGCCAATGCATCACGCCATACGCTAGGGTCGGCATGCCGACTCAGCATTCTTGCGCAAGCAGCACGGGTGTCCGTTTTCAGTTGCTGTGCGCAGAACTCTTGGCAGCGGGTCAGTATTGTTTACAAGAATACTACTTTGTTGCTGAGGGCAACCAAAATGCTTAAGGCTGTGTGTTGTTGTATTTGTTGCTGAGGGCAACCAAATACTTATGATTGTGTGTTACGTACTTAGAAATACCAATGTATGACTGTGAGAGTGTATCTTATATGTTTAGTTGTTAACTTATATATGAATATGCGAAAATGACAAAACTGTTATTGATTTATGTACATACCCTTATTAAGTTATTGACATTGCTGGTCCAGTATTTCACGATCTTCTAATGAAATAAAAGTACATATACAGACAAATATAATTATTGAAATGTCAAGCTCAACTTACCTCGCGAATCAATAATCTCCGCTTCGGTACTGCCTTTGCTAAATTTTGCAATGCACATTTTACTTCCTTCCACTATTTTAATTTTTTTTTTTATGCAATACATAATTTTGCTCGCACTTAATTAAGAAATACATCCCCTCGCAAAGTTTCCAGAAATTTAATGGCGCCAAGTTTTCGAGTTACGCGACGAGCAAGTCAAGTCATTTCTTCAAATGTACTTTTAAGACAGCTCTGCACTATCAAATTGAATACTCGAAACGCGTTCATTTTGCTCGCGTAATGGTAAAAACTAGTCGATATTTATGCAATTAAAATGATGATGTGAGAGAGATATTAAATTGATGATGGATTGTAAAAATGAAAGCGGTCAAAAAGAATAAATGTTATGAGGAAATAACTGTTTTTATTGGAAAAAAAAAATTAAGCCGCATTTTTTTATTAGATTTTTCTTTTCATGCTATTATCGATATCTCACTTATATGTAAATCAAAGTGTTGCACTACATCACATTACGAGAAGAAAATAAATTTTTTACTTGATGCATAAACTAAGTTAATAAAAATGCTTATATATAAAATAATTGTTTAGCTAAATTCCCGATATATGCCCGATTAATTGTAAGCAACTTAAAACTAACGACTCTAACTTAATAAAATAGTTTGGATAGTGCTCACGAAAGCGGTCAAAGAGAATGACTGTTATGAGGAAATAACTGTTTTAATTGGAAAAAAAAATTAAGCCCCATTTTTTTATTAGATTCTTTTTTTCATGCTATTATCGATATCTCACTTATATCAGTAACCAAACATCATATAGACTAGACATGAGTACCAGAAGTAGACACAAAATGTATCGGTGGCATCTGGTCCAAACTCGCGAGTAAGGGAGTAAGATATACATAGGATGTATTTTTGAACCGCTTACTCTACAGGAAAGTGCTTGGCGCACTCTCTTCCATATGATTTGTGCGATAGAACGGCAACGCTGTTAACGTTTATCTCGCTCGCACTTACTCTCAGCTCTCAATGCTCTCTCTATGTTTAGGGATCGTTTCAATGTGTGTGTGTGTGTATTTGTCCGCCGAGCAAAACTGCGCACAAATTCAATTTTTCTCAAATGCTGAGGCATTTCTACCCTTTTGAAGGCACGGCTAATATGAAATAGAGAAAGGGTTTGCCACGTCGATGCGAAATTCTTGCATTTTAGCTCGCTATCGTTGGTAAGGGTACCCAAACGTTGCCATGTGTGCATTTAAAATATTTTGGACTCGCTATTCACGCATACTTGCATATTTTGTATATGAATAGAAGCATTTATGCGCTTGTTTGTCTGTTGCTTGCCTGCCAGCCTGTCCCCGATGCAAATTTAACAAGATTTTGGGATTTCTTGTTTTCGACCTATTAACATAGACACACACATACAAATGTCTGTGAATGAGCAGTTCATGGGCGCACAAGAAAATGTCATTATTGGCACGCGTCTGACGCGCGCCCTTCTTTTTTATGATTTTGAGGTCTTGCAGCCGTAAAGGCACAAATGTATAAAAAGGCAATGAAAATGGTATGGATCCAGACGCATGCTATTCATTCTGATCGTTAATTGCCTGTCATAAGACCCTTTAACCTAAGATTATAATAATGCCAATAAAAGATTAATTGCATTTTTTCCATATCAAAGTGCAAACGAGCGACAAGTGCGATCCACCTGTTTCATTCAAACCCACCGCAGGCATGCCAAAAAAAACAAAGACCGTGCCAGTCGCCCAAATTTACGCACCCATTGATAAAAATATCTATGCCTTACGACAAACCCTTGATCAGCTCATTCGCACACATTCATGTGCGTTTATATGTGTGTGTGTAGAGCTCGAGATTCACAAATGCCAAAAATTCAAATTTTGTCAAATTTGCATCAGGCAGGCAGGCAGGCAGCCAACACGCACACAAACGCATTAATGCTTTCATCCATATAGAAAAGTGTGTTAGTGTGCATGGTTGGCCAACCCAAAAAGTTATCATCCACACATGCCAGCGATCAGGTACCCTTACCCCTACAACAATCATGGAAAATAGCAATTTTGCACATGAACAGGCCAAACCCTTTAATAATTTCACACAACTGCTTACTTGAAAGAGTGTGCGTCAATTTTTGGTCTTTTCTTAAATGCTTCGACATGCCGACGATGAATTACCCTTGCAGAAATACGACTTAGATATTTTTGTATTTTAAACAAAATAGATCGCTACAGTAAACAGAAAATAAATATAAATATTTTATTTAGGTCAATTGATTGTGTATTAAATAAAATTTTATCAAATTATTCTCATCATGCCTGACTGGACGAAGAAATATATGATAGAGCATTTAAATGTGAGTGCCTATTGCTACCACAGGCACAAAAGGCACACAATTGAAGAAATAACCTCTGGCTTGCGACAAACGCCGCGATCTACTCGTGCGCATATCCACACAACACAAACACACAGATAGATAGGAATGTTTGAAGATCTCGGGGAGGGAGAAAGAGATGGACCCAAGTGCGCAAAGCAATGAGCCGGGCCCCTTTCTGGAAAGATGTGTGAAATGTGTTTACTTATGGCAGGCCGCATTTCATATAACTTGCAAAAATGTCACACTTTCAGAAATATGTTCAGTGGACGGAGGCTAGTCGTTTGTTGATTGAAGCTTTTATATGTGCATCATTTAAAATGCAGCCGATTGTCGCAGTTTTGTTCTTGTTGTAAAATTGTTAATGCATTAAGTTTTGTGTGTCGTTGCTTGTTACGATACTGCTTGTTTCTCGGTGGGCCGCGTCGGCTGGCTCATCGGGTTCTCTTTGCTTTTGTGGCACACAACGCCTGAATCCAGCGACGGAGGACGCTAGCCAGATCAAACCAGATATTCGCGGGCCCGATTTTTCTACCACGGCCAAGACAAGCCATCACGGACGGGACTCCAACGACGAAGAGGCGGCCATGGGCGAAACCACGCCCACTTCATCACTGAGTGAGTCTGTTCTGTAGACCCATAATTGAGGCTCCCTGAAGGAGAACAGATATCTTTTTTGGAATTGTTAACTCTAGTTTTTTTTTGTAAATTAAATACATTATATACTCACGACTAGTCGCAATTAAGGAAATTTCCGAAAGTGCGAACAGGGAAGGAAATGGCCCAAAGATTATTGCATCTGCCAAAATTTTGGTCAACTTTATTGTATTGATTGTCTCCCCTTGCTTTTATACCTTGCAGAGGGTATTATAATTTTGTCGTGAAATGTGTAACGCATAGAAGGAGACATCTCCGACCCCATAAAGTTCTTAATTCTTAATCAGCATCAACAGCCGAGTCGATATAGCCATGTCCGTCTGTCTGTTTCTATGCGAACTAGTCCCTCAGTTTTAAAGCTATCTTAATGAAACTTTGCAGAACTCCCTCTTTCTGTTGCACGCAGCATATATGTGAAAACCAGCTGGATCGGACCACTATATCATATAGCTGCCATAGAAACGATCGGTCGAAAATCAATTTTTATCTTAATAAACATTTTGTTTATTAAGATATCTTGACCAAACTCGGCATTTATTAGTTTTACTTTACTCCTCATATATATTCAATATCCCATTAAGATCGGACCACTATATCATATAGCTGCCATGGGAACAATCGGTCGAAAATTAAGTTTTTGTTTCACTTACGTTTGTGTTTCTCTGGAGATCGGACGTGAAAATTGCAGTCTCGTGTGTGTGTGCGCGTTAGTGCACCGCTGGCAGCAGGCATAAACCAAGAAAGTGACATTGACACTGTATAAAGCCCGCCCCAGGGCAATCCATACAAATCCCGCTTATAGTGGGTAAACTATACGCAACTGCTGCCTCTGGCAGCCGGAGTGTTATACAAATTAACAATATTTTAACAAAAAAAATTACCGCGTGCAGTGCGTGAGAACAAGTTCTTGCAAAACTTAAGCTGCGCTCAGCTGATCGCAACTCAAGTGCGTGTGTGTGTGCGCGAGTGCAGCAAAGCTTTCGCGAGAGAGCTTTCAGCTTGCAGCTGCACTGATAGTGCTGGCAAAACAGTCACTGCAGTGACAGTGCTGACACTAAAGTCACAATTTGTGATCAATCACTTGTTACAAAAATACGGGTTATTTTTGTAATTAAGTGTAAAAAACTTGTTTTGTTTTTATTTTTTATTCTTTTTTCTCCCTGTGGGGAAAAAATTATAACAAAGTAAAGAACAATGGCTACAAACAACCGACCCCAAAACAACGAAGAAATTCATTCGCCAATCTACCCGCTGCCGAACAGCTCAATAATATCCCCTACAAATATAGCCGCTAATGTCGATCGCCTCGACGGAAGCAGGCCACTGGAAGATTTTTACCAATATTACAACAACGTGCTCGCCAGTAGTGCAAACCGGAACGGCGCCTCCACCTCGCTGTCAGCCGGTACCCAGCAATGCTCGACTTGGCAACCGCAACAGCACGGCACTGTCAGCACAACGACAGCAACAACCACCACAACCACAGCGTCATCCAGCAGCGGCTGCAGGACATCTGCCTCAACAGGCACAAGCCGCGCCGCTTTAGAGCCCATCGGGACCCGCCCCAAAGCCGCCAATCCGACCTTGCAGTCCACCCCTTATGGCACCCAGGCAGCTGGTTCTTGTGTCACAAACCCCCCTCTGCCTCCCATAAAGAACGCAGGTGCTACGCTAGCCTTCGAAGAGCCACTGGTAGATTGGCAAACGGTTTCCGCAAAAAAACGGCGTGGGACTACATTATTATCCGAAGGCGTAAAAAAAGGGAAGCAACTAAATAACCGCAACACCAGCCGCGCTGGAGCTAAGCCCGCAACTCCCAGTACCGCTTCGGCAATTAGCAACAGATATGCCTCCCTTGAGCCTCAGGAAGACGCCTCTGTAATCGATGACGGCGAGATGGACACTGCCGACGAAGCGCCTCCAGTCACAGACCAACAACAATCAGCGAAAAAGATCTCCAAACCCAGGCCGATAACAGTCCCTGGAGTCAGCGATATTGTCGCAATGGAGCGAACCATAGATCAGGCAGTGGGCGCAGACGCCTATGAATTCAAGGTCTCTCCCTCTGGCTATCTAAGAATTTACGCCAAAGATGCCGACACCCACAGAGCAATTGTCCGCAAGCTCACTGAAGTGAGAGTGCAATTTACCCACTTCTGCCTAAAGGAAGACAGACCATACCGCGTTGTGGTTAAAA